ACAAGTTTCATGCACATTTTGTCTCAGAAACGCTGAATTAAGTACAGTCACACGCTGCATGGTGGTTCATCCATAAATAATCCTCCTGCTAATGCAAGAGATATGAGTTTGATTCCTGGGTCATGAAGATCCCCTGGAGAAGGAAATGGCAACCTGCTCCAGTATTCTTCCTGGGAAATCCCATGGACAGAGGAGCCTGCTGGGCTACAATCCACGTGGTAGCAAAGAGTCAGACTCAACTTAGTGACTAAACAACAGCACACTCTGCAGATGCAGAGATGGGAGCCCCGGAGAATGGGGTCACTGAGGCCTCACAGCTAGTAATGGAGTGACAGTCAAGCCCAGTCCTGCCTGGCTTCAGAGTCTTGGCCCCTTGATGAAATATCCAAACCTAAGGGAGGGAGTTGGAGAGATCAGGCTCGTGGGAGGTGTTTGAACCATCAGTCTAATGGTTTACAGCGTTTGTCAAAGTGCTTAATTTCTCAAAAGCATGCTCTGTGCATTCGTTACTGGAAAGTGTGTTAGTGTGTACCCTGGCTTATTTGTGAACCTGACAAAACCAAACTTAAGAAACCTGGCTGACAGATTTCACTGTTAGTTACTTCTATATTTAAGTTACGGCTCGTAAGTAAAAGTAATAAAGAAGCGTCACGTAATTCAGTGTTTCCTTTGTTTATGGTGGTTCTAGGTATACCATAAGTACAGCCATTGCGAAGAGGAGTTTTCTGTTGAATACCAGGCAGGGCAGAGGCGTGTGTGGGTGAGAGTTCCTGTGATTATCCAGGCGGGTCTTCTGGATCTCGGAGTTCTTTAAATTCTACAAGCTTAGAGACCAACTAATAAACCAAACCGTAAAACGTTTACACTGCCCATTACTGCCCATAAACGTTACTCTTTAGTGGGCTGTGTTCCTTTGGAAAGATACATGTCAAAAATCTCCAGAATCATCAGAACTTGTGCTTCAATGCTCTGACCTTAGAGAAGTTTAGACCAGATCAGGACTGGGCTGTTACCTGGCCTGGTAGTCCTTAGATGATGACTTGAAATGGTTGCAGGTGACATTTTTTATCTCTTTCCAGTATTTTTGTCTTGAATATTTACATTTCCTTCTATTTCCATCTTCCTTTAAAAAAAAAAGTATTTAGTCTTCAATAAATGAGAAACTACTAAATGGCATAGTTAGATGGAAACAATTATGGTGACCTGTGTGTGTATTTAGGAAAGTCAAAGTGTTAATTGCTCAGTGATGCCTGGCTTTTTGTGACCCATGGACTGTAGCTCACCAGGCTCCACCATCCATGGCATTTTCCAGGCAAGAATGCTGGAGTGGGTAGCCATTCACTTCTCCAGGGGAACTTCCTGACCCAGGGGTCTTCCTGAACTAGGGATTGAACACGGATCTCCTGCATTGCAGGTAGATTCTTTACCATCTGAGCCACCAGGGAAGCCCATTTAGGAAATTACATGTTAAATATTTAGTAGTCTGAGAATGTATACTTCTTTTTTAAAATTTTATTGAAGTATAGTTGATTTACAATGTTGTGTTTACTTCTGCTATACAACAAAGTGACTCAGTCACACATATGTGTGTTCTTTCTCATATTCTTTTCCATTCTGGTTTGTCACAGGTTATTGAATATCGTTCCCTGTACACTTGTTTCTTTAAGGTGCCGTCCTGACAGCGTTCTGTGGTTCTGCATCCTTGGATCCCACACACGTGACACTCGGTGCTATGTGTGGGGTCACAGGTGCTTGCCTTCCCTGTGACTGCTGGGCTCGACCTGGTCTGTCTGAAGTCTGTCCTTTCTCAAGGAGCTGGTCCTGCCCTAGGGGCTGAGAGTCCAGGAGAGAGGAGTCAGCCCCTCCTTCAGGGGCTCTGGGCTCCCTGTCCATTTGTCCCAACCTCCGGACGCAGCTCTCTAGTCTATCCCCAGGTTTCCAGTGGTGATTTAAAAACAGCCCCTGCTCACATTTTCTCTCACCCGTTTAGTTCGTCCTCTTTAAGATGATTGTGCCATCTCCCCTGTTGCTCCTCTGCTGTTTCCAGCCCCAGGTCTGCAGCCTCCCAGGGTCACTGGTACCCGGACAGCCTCTGTCCGTCACGCCCGCAGTGAGCCTCGCCGCCCCCCTGCCGGTGGCTCGCTTCTGAGGCGGAGCTCTGCATGTGGTTGTCGATGGTGTGTGTGGTAGCGCGTGATCTGCAGTCCGTGTGCTTCCCTTGGATCAACACACTGCTCCCTTCCCTGCCACGCGGGGTGGGAAGTTACTTAGGAAACTGAGTGAATTGGAAATTAGGACCCAGATTATCCACTACAAATAGTTCATCCAACTAAAGCTAGACTTTTATACCAACTGTCTCAGCCTCCTGGCCCCCTGCTCACAGGGAAGTCTCGGAGAAGAAGCCCTTGAATGACCTGGGTTGGGTCCTGTTCCTGCACCTTGATAGAGGGAGGTTGACTGAAACCCAGTGAGAGGAGATTGGCATGCCTTCCTCTCACTGTGTGTACATGGGCACAGGGACATTAATGATTATATACATTTTTTCAGGGGCTTCCCAGGTGGCGCAGTGGTAAAGAATCTGCCTGCCAGTGCAGGAGACGCAGGAGACATGGGTTTGATCCTTGAGTCAGGAAGATCCCCTGGAGTAGGAAATGGCAATCCACTCCAGTATTCTTGCCTGGAGAATCCCATGGACAGAGGTGCCTGACAGGCTACAGTCCATGGGGTTACAAAAGAGTCAGACAAAACTGAGTGACTAAGTACATATACATCATATACACATACAGCACATATACTTTCAGAATGTAAGTCCCTTGAAGGAAAGGTCTTCGTATAGATTTGTATAGATCTATATATCTATGTGCGATACCCAGCACACTGAATTTCTGATAAATGCAAAGCATTGAAGGAACTTGAGCTCCAAATGCACATCTTTTAAATTTCCAAATTTTCATTTGCTTTGATCATAAGGACCAAGTCATTGTCCTCTTGCTGTGAATTTGTGACACAGGGATTGAGCAAGAACTTGCTGGAACTTGTAGAAGGAAGTTGTGGCAGCCATGTCTGTACTTTCTGTTTTGGAGAATGTGTACAAGGGTAGGAGTGAGGTGTCACAAGACCCTGTGAGTTAGAGTGGGAATTTGTGGTCATTATGTGTGTGGGCATTTTGACTGTTTGGTTAAAAAGTCTAAGAAATGAGAGCCATCCTTGGGAAACTGGGCTCCATTAATTCAAGAATCTCTTCTGTCACATTCTTCGTTCTTCACGTTTAAGGTTATTTGAACATACACTCAAATAAATGTGGGCCACTAGATTTTGCCTGATTTGCTATTCTTTTCAATGGAGAAATATTCTAAACCATGACGGTTTCCCTCCTGGATGTAGTAGAGGAATAAATGTTGGTCCCAAGAAAGTTCTCGTTCAGCCCATTATCACTTTTACCCCATCTGTGAGAAAGAGATGAATCAAAGAGATTGAATCAAAAAGCCTCAAAACAAAGGAACCAGATCACCTGTTAAATGTAGAGTATGGCAGCAAACATCTTTGGTTTCCATCAATAGCCTCCCCAATAATAGTGCTGTCTTTTTAAAAAATTTTTCATTTGTTTGTTTATCTATTTATTTTGGCTATGCTGGGTCTTCCACATTGTGTGGGCTTTCTCTGCTTGCAGTGAGTGGGGCTGCTCTCTATCCATGGCAAGTGAGCTTCTCATTGTGGTGGCTTCTCTTGTGGGGCGCAGTCTCTAGGGTGGGGGAGTTCAGTAGTTGTGGCACCCTGGCTTAGTTGCCCCATGGCATATGGGATCTTCCCAGACTGGGGATCGAACCAGTGTCCGCTGCATTGGAATGTGGATTATTAACCACTGGACCACCAGGGAAGCCCTAGTGTTAAGTCTTAAATACATTCATTAGTGGCCACACTTGTACCTTTTGGCCTCGTCTCAGTAACATAGCTCCCTAGTCCCATCTGATTTTAGGTGGTTGTTGGAGTTGATTTATGTATGTAGCACATGGTTCCTGAGTAAATATCACTTCATGATTAAAGCTATACTTTTCAGGGAATATTAAGTCATCCTTCCAAACCTTGTGATGGGGAAAATGGCAGTAGAATCCTACACTGTATTCTGACAGTCTCCATTATAAAGGGAATGAGCAGGGGCTTCCCTGGCAGTCCAGTGGTTAAGGCTCCACACTTCCACAGCAGGGGCACAGGTTCGATCCCAGTTCAGCAAACTAGGATCCCACAAACCCCACACAAAATAAAGGAGAGTGCAGTCTTCCAGAAGCGAGATTGCGGGCCTTTTTGTTTATCTGTGAGCATTTGATGATGTTTATGAGCCCCTTCTGGGAGAAGGCCATGGCACCCCACACCAGTACTCTTGCCTGGAAAACCCCATGGACGGAGGAGCCTGGAGGGCTGCGGTCCGTGGGGTGGCTGAGGGTCGGACACGACTGAGCGACTTCACTTTCACTTTTCACTTTCATGCGTTGGAGGAGGAAATGGCAACCCACTCCAGTGTTCTTGCCTGGAGAATCCCAGGGATGGGGGAGCCTGGTGGGCTGCCGTCTATGGGGTCGCACAGAGTCGGAGATGACTGAAGTGACTTAGCAGCAGCAGCAGCAGCAGCATGAGTCCCTTCTGAGTGTAGGAATAAAATAATGATGGACTGCAGTTTTATCAAGTTAATGTTTAAATGGTGATGTGATGACACTCTTGAGTCCCTGTGAAGCTCTGGGCTCCTGGGGCTCCCACCATCACCTTTTTATTTTTCAATTGGAGAAAAATTGATGTATAATGCTGTGTTGGTTTCTGCCGTACAACAGTGCAGAATCAGTCATTGGCATCCATATATCCCCCTCCCTCTTGAGCCTCCCTGCCGCCACTGTAGATCATCACAGAGCTCTATAGCTCCCTGTGCTATCCAGTAGCTTCCTACCAGCCATCTATTTTAGACGCCTAGCAGCGTGGTGAGGAGTTGACCCCCTGTGTCTGTCCTGCAGCATCCCGTGCTGGACGAGCCCATCGCCGAGGCCGTATGCATCATCGCAGACACAGACAAGTGGAGCGTCCAGGTGGCCACGAGTCAGAGGAAGGCAGTGGACAGCACGAAACTCGGCCAGGACGTGCTGGTGTCAAGTCAGGTGTCCAGCTTACTGCAGTCCATCCTGCAGCTCTACAGGCTTCACCTTCCCGCCGACTTTGTAAGTATGTGTTCTCCAGTCATCAGAGAAATGGACTACAAAAACACTTACCACAGTATTGTGGTTATAAAGTCACGAGCTCCTGTGTATTGATTTTAGTGTAATTGGATGTTAGCATCAGTGGAAACAGCGTGTGATACAAAACCAGCATATGGGCTGGATTCAGTAACAATAGTCCTTCTGGAAATGGAGCATAGAGACATCATCTCTTTGAACAAGTTACATGAAGAAGTAGGTATCATGTGGAGGCAGGGGTCAAGCATACAGGGAAATTTAAAATACCCTCCTTGGGGAAACTTATTGGTTTTTCCGTCATCAGTTTGGTGCCAAGCCAGCCAACTTTCTGAAGGGACTGTCATTCTACCTGCTCAGGGACAGTCCTCCCAGAGTTATTATGGATAAAGTAGGATATTGTTTGTGTCATTACTTAAAATGTTGAAGCACCATAGCCATCGGGGGTGGTATCAATTGTTCCTTTTTGAATAGGATTTTGCAATCACTTTGATAACATTATATTAAATACAGACAGCAGACAGACCCCCTGAACTCCTAGAAAATGATCAACAGTTCTCCCCGAGTCTCTGGAATAATATACACAACAAATTTGTGTGTGTGTGTGTCCATGTGCACGCACGCGCATGTGCAGAGAGGTGAAGAGAAAACACACTTCAGGAGGGAGGGAGCCGGGTTTCCAGCGCAGAAAGGCGTGTACCAGGAAGGGAGGAGCTCCAGGAGCTGGAAGGGACCCCCCTGAGCTCGCCTGCCTTCTCAGCTCCTCCTCCCTCCCCTGGCTGCGCTCAGCCCCACGCCAAACAGCCAGCGTCTCCCTGCCAGCCTCCGGCCTCCACAAGAGGTGCAGGGCCAGTAGCAAGCACATAGGCGGCTGGATTACGGTCAGCTCCCTGGTTGCTCGGGAAGGGTTATTCCCCCGAGTTCTTGTGACCAGACCTACAGGGGCACCACACCCCTTGGAAAGCCAGGACTCCTGTGTCCTTGGAGGGGGGCTTAGAAACCCTGGGGTGCAGTGTGGTATCACAGGGACATCGCGGGGGTCACTTCTGGGCTTTGCCTGTTTGGTTCCTTGGGCACCTCAGGACGTCAGCTCTCCCCTCTGTGAACACGGTACCTTTGCAGCAAGCGCATGAGCGTGCCCTGAGGCGTGCTCTGCACCTGGCCAAGCCCAGGGCCAAATGAGTCCCCTTTGCAGCCAGTGGACAGTTGTGGACAGTGGGCTTTCAGTGGCTTGGACTCAGACCCAGGCTCCTCTGCTTCCTAATCATGCTCCTTGTCAAAGCTGGGGAACAGCAGAACCCGTCCCATCTGTTTATGGAAATTAAGTGAGCTAATTCACTTAGCTGGGGCTAAGTGAATTACTGGAGCTAATTTGCTGGGACTTCCCCGCTGGATCAGGGGTAAGGAAACTGCCTGAAATGCAGGAGACCCAGGTTCGATCCCTGTGTTGGGAAGATCCTGTGGAGGAGGGCAAGGCAACCTACTCCAGTATCTTGCCTGAAGAATCCCATAAACAGAGGAGCCTGGTGGGTTACAGTCCTTGGGGTCGCAAGGAGTTGGACACGACTGAAGCGACTGAGCACAATGCACCTGAAGCACTTGGAGTAACACTGGATGTTGTACACACTCATAAGACAGCTTCTATTGGTGTAATTGTTAAGAATAACTACTTAGGTGAAACAGTGTTCACGGCTGTGAAGACTGACACCACTTACTCACTGAAACCTTTATTTGGCCTTTAAATGGCAGGACCCCTCTCCCCGTGGTGACCCAGGAGGCACCTGTGGCTTCTTACAACCGGACTCTTGTTCTGCACTTGCAGGCAGTTTTCCTTCTAGTAGCAGCGTGCATCATGCTGATATAGAGGCCGAAATTTGCTTTTCTGTAAGAAAGGAGAGATCTATTTGATGATACAGGTTTTTTTTTTTTTACTGTTTTAAGTATTTACCAAACTTTTATATTTTATTCTGTAATCCATATCTCTCACTACAGTTGACATCTTAAGTTATCCCAGCAGTAAATTACCACAGTTAATTCCTTTTTTTACTTCATTTAGACATGTTACATTTAACCACAAAATCAAGATCAAAGAAAATTTCATCTGCAGTTTAAAATTCTCCTTAAAATTCACTTGAATGAAACATACAATTAATTTCCTGTTGGTACTTTGAATATGGAAAGAGAAAGTAGCTATTTAAAATTTCAGAAGTTAAAATTGAAGAAATCCATCTGAGAAAGGAAGGAGCAGATCCCCAAATAGTTCAATTTCATAATCAGGCTTTGTCAAAAAAAAAAATTTCTAAATGCTTGGATTTCAAGTTTCATGTACATTCCACATGAACCAAATTCTATTTCCACATTGCAGCACACAGGTTTCCTAGGGACTATGAAAATGCTGTAAATTCACTATTTTAAACCATTAAGGATTCAACATAATGTAGATGTTCCTTTTAATATTTTATAATGCTCTTATTAAAACTTTGTATTTACTCCATAAGGAACTGAAGCTGAGCAGGAGCCCCTTCCCCCACTGAGCTCGGCTTCCTGAGGGGAACGTTTCCCTGAGAGCTGGTGAAATCCTCCTTGCTTTGATTGTTACTCTTACTCACTTACCAGTTGTGTTTCATCCACACAACACAACACACTTAAGATTTTAAGTCAATGGAAAAGACTGCATCTCGAATGCATACTTTGTCTGTGTCACTGATCAGCCCAGATGGTCAAGCTCAACATTGTCAAGTGCATCTGTTAATCTTTTTACCTTGAAGACAGCAGGCGTAATGGTCTAGAAGAGAATCATGTCAGATGGACCCTTGCCAGAGCCATCAGGTGACTTACTGAGGTGCCTGATGACTGCCTGCCAAGCGCAGAAGCATTTGCCTCTGGTGCAAAGCACAGATGGTTGCTGTTCTCTAAAACACGAAGTTGGACACAGTTCCAAGGGTAGAGATGTCCTGAAAATAATTGCCTCTCTTTATTGTTATTAGAGACCTAGTTAAAATACACTCTTGAGAGACAAGAAAAGTTCAGAATAACCTTGTTCCAGTCATTTTTCTGGGAATGAATTCTACCAAAATAATCTGAGGTATAGAAAACAACAACAGAGATGCTCTTTATAAAAAGGCATTGGTAAAGAATTTTTAATAACATGGGGAAGAGATTATTTTAAATTATTTTTTGAAAGGAGAGAATAATTGTACTTATAGAATGATTTCAACTATGTAAAAAGCAAAAGCTTTTTTAAAAAGACTGAAAGATATATATGAAGATCTTAACAGTCATTGGAAAAAGTAAACTTTCTTGTTTTACAAAAACCTGTTTTTTTCTTTTTTTTAATTTATATTAGAATATAGTTGATTTATAATGTGGTGTTAGTTTGAGGTGTGCAGCAAAGTCGTTCAGCTATATATACACATGTGCTAAGTCATGCCCAACTTTTTGCGGCCCCATGGACTATAACCTGCCAGGCTCCTCTGTCCATGCAATTTTCCAGGCTAGTGGAAAACTGGAATACTGAAGTGGAGTGCCATTTCCCACTCCAGGGGATCTTCCTGATCCAGGGATCCCTAAGTCAAGAATACTGAAGTGGGGTGCCATTTCCCACTCTAGATCATCATCCTGACCCAGGGATCAAACTCAAGTCTCTTGTGTCTCCTGCATTGGCAGGCAGATTCTTTGCCCATATAGGTTATTACACAGTAGTGGGTAGAGTTCTCTGTGGTATACAGTAGGTCCCTGTTGATGACAAAACTTATTCCTCCGAATGGTAGGATTTGCACTGGCTTGCAATCCCTTAAGTATATTTTATAGAGATGAGATCACAGTTGTGTCCTTAGGAAGGATGGAGGGCATTCCAGCTCTTGAATCACTGGCGGAGATCTGAGTCCCCAGCTCATCCCGAGTGTGGTTGGCTTTGTAGTGCGTCATGCACCTGGAGGACAGACTGCAGGAGATGTACCTGAAGAGCAAGATGCTGTCCGAGTACCTTCGAGGACACACACGTGTGCACGTGAAAGAACTAAGCGTCGTGCTGGGGTGAGTCCTGTGGAGTGCCACCGTTGCCCTGGGCTGTACCCACTGACCCGTCCAGCCCCTGCCACTCCCCAGGGACACCAGAGTTTCCCACCTAGAAACAGACTCTCAGACCTTTCAGCTGGAGCTCCAGGGTCAGCCTCCTCCCCGGCGTTAATTTATCCTTGAAAGTGGAGCATGTAATCCTCCTCCAGCTGCCCCTCTCTAGGCATTTCACTAGGATGTGGGAGTCACGGGCTGTGGGACAGCGGCCGTGGGCTCCTGGCCGTTTCTGGGGGAGGTGAGGAAGGCCGCCCCCCTGGACTTGGAGCCCGTCTGCATGTCCCAGGTGGCCGGACTCTCCTTCCTTTTCCTGGGAGCCCATCAGAAGAGGAGGTGTGCATGTCATCCGTGTCCTACATCATCTTCCAGAGGCTGTTTGCCCTAACTTCTCTGGGGGGAAGAAATTCGGACTTGCGTTTTACTCTCTGCTCAATTTTTCCACAGAGAAGTAACAAAACAACATTGTCTCAATAAGGCCTTGTGTCCCCTTTTCCTGTGATGATGAATCCCCCCAGTTTGGGGCAAGAAAATACCGTGTGTAAAACATCAATCCCAAAATTCTCTATTAGGCCTGCCAGTCAAACTTGTATCATTTCAAGGCTCAGGCCTTCGCATTCTTGCTGGACCTCTCATGTCAGACCCAGGATATGACTTACTGTATTATTCCATTCTCAGCGTTTCCTGCCATACTTTTTTTTTTTAACGCAGTTCACTTTAAAAATATTCTCCCCTTCTGAGGCATTTACTTTTGTAGTTTTTGCTTAGATCTCTTCACCAGCCTCACAGTAGTCCTGCCTCATTGGGTTTCTGATGTGGGATGTGCAGCTCTTATTTCTAGGATGCTTGCCTGGCCCCTGACTGATGGGTGCCCACCATCAGCACCCACCCCTGAAGGTGGATTTGCCTCCTTGCTTCAGGCCCCTCAATGCCTCATTGGGCCCCTTCCAGCCCTTGCTCACCCGCCTCCTGCTCTCAGGTCAGCAGCACTGCGGTGCTGGGAACTTGCTGTCATCCTGAATGTCACTGCAGAAGGCAGGGAAGACACCACGAGCTCATGCCAGCTGCCTTCTTTGGTTCTATTTTTAGTTTTTAGATTTTGGAAACAAGGGACAGCATTAGAACATGTTTCAAGGACCGAGACCATCCTGGCTTTTCCAGGACACACAGCGGCCCCCTGCCTGTGCTCCCCCACCCTCATTGACTCTATCTCTGTTCTTAGGAGGTGGCTTTGGTGTCTGAGTGTCAAGTGCACGCTGGGCAGGGGTCTCGGTTGTGTGAGCCACTGAAGAAAGCCCAGGGGTTTTGAAGACACTGTCAACATCTTGGGTTCCCAGAGACTTACTTGGACCCAGTGCAGACTCAGGGTGCAGTCCTGGAGTGCTGACTGGAGGAGGTGTCGTGCAGAGGCTGTGCAGGGATACAGGCCCTGGTCCCATGCACACAGCTGCCACTGCACCATCCAAGGCTCCGGGACCCTGGGAGGGCGGGTCTCAGGAACAGGCTCACCGTCTCCCTGCCTCCCTCACTGTTCTGATTGCCCACTGGGCAGGCCTGGGATCTGGCAGTGGGACGCTCCTATAAATCCTGCCACTTTAATGTAACTACCTCCCCTCTCTCCACATTCAGGATCGAGTCCAACGACCTGCCTCTGCTGACGGCCATTGCGAGCACTCACTCTCCTTACGTCGCCCAGATACTCTTGTAAGCTAATGCTCAGGACAGCTCCTCCTTGAAGAAAATCGGATTCTCAGCCAGAGGAGGAAGGACGGCAGCTCCCTGCGACCACGAGGCGCCAGCAGGGTGGACGGACGCGGTCCTCCCCGCGCTGTGCTGTGTGAGGGGGAGCCGCTTCCCGGGTGCTGGCTGGAAGCCGTAGGTTTACTGACTCCGGTGTCTGTGTTGTCATGGGCAGTCAGGCCTCCATCACCCTCAAGTCAGCGTGGGCGCTGAGGGCACAGCGGTGACCAGGGACCTGAGCGCGGGCCTGAGCGACGCAGGCATCATCGCTGCTAGAAACATCGCAGAGTGCAAGCGTGAGCTCCCCAAGCTGGAGGAAGCGATCCTGCTGTCCCGAGAAGGCGGTCAGCACGGGGACCCTGGGCACCAGGCACCGCAGTGTCGTGAAGCCCGCGTGTACTGCCTCCGCTCCGCTGGCTCTGGTGTCACCATCTGGCAGAGAGCACGAGGGGGCTGGCTGTGGGGAGCAGAGCTCCAGGGACCCACTGCTTCCGGCCTTCCCCCACTTTCCCTTGTTTGAGATGCAGCCACGGGTAGGTTAGGGATGGACTGTTGGTGCAATAAACCCGAGAATCAATGTAGCATCCTCGTCCCGTCCACACAGTGCACAGCAGCGGAGGGCACAGTCCAACCCCTCTTGCTTCGTCCTGAGACTTCAGAGCTCTCAGCAGCCTTGTCAAAGGGGCCGTTTACCAAAGTTATTTCTATAAGCTCGAGAGCATTTCTGTGGCTAAATCCCTCCAGCTAAAGCCACCTTCTTCCTGTAACAGTTAATACAGATGACTATTTACACTTTAAAAGGCACAGCTGTCCAGGTGGGAAGTGAAATTTGCAACAGTTCAGGATGATTTATGAATCAGTTTGAACATTTCTAAACAATCCATCTATGAGCTCAATTTTTACTCCATCATCTCTGTGCCTTCCAAACCCTACATCCTTTTCAAAACACCTTCCCAGAAATTGACTGCCCTGTAGTATAAAACCTGCCACAAGGCAGTATTGCTTAAGTATGAGCATAGTTTGCTTTTTAAAAACGCTGAATTTTCTGTTGATACAAACTTTAGTTTACCGATTGTGAAGCAGGCGATGTCCTGACATCCAGGGTAAAGGAAAAGACTAGTAAATTGGTGGTTAAAAGGCAGGGCTAACCCTGTTAACAGCACACCTGTTAATACCTGCAGACCTTGAGGACGTTCATTCTAACCAGCCTCTGATCTCCTTCTCCTTTATAAATCGATCCCAATCCTTTCCGTGTAGCTTCTGCACCTAAGAATATGAAACGACTTCCCTTTCAGGAGTTAGAATACTCTGTCTTCAGATTTGCTATGTGATAAAATCCTAATCCCAAACCCCAAGTTACATACGTCTCTGTCTTTATTCTTTGATAAATGCGAGTTGTTTGTTTGAAAGAGCAGAGCAGCAGGACCAATGGGAAAAAACAGGTGTGTTCTTTCTTAGGAGTGGTTCTTAGGGATAGGTCAGAACTCCGGCCTTCCCCTCTCTTTTTAAGAAATTGTGTGTTGGGTTTTTTTTTCCCTTGGCTGCTCCACTCAGCCTGTAGGATCTTAGTTCCCCTACCAGAGATTGAATCTGGGCCCTTGGCAGTGAAAGCTCAGAGTGCCAGCCACTGGACCATCGGGGAAGTACCCCTTCTCTCTCTCTTTTTAAGGATGTGAAGCGCAGAGGGTCTCGAAACTCTCAAAATCTTTAATTTGTATTTTATGTCTTTCTCTCATAAAAGCGATGTCCACTTTATCTATGTTTTCTGTTTTCCTTTTGCCTGACGTCTGAAATGAGACGGGTATTTAGAGTCCCTGGTCCCATGACACGGTGGCGGTTGTCGCGGACCTGCCCACGGCCGCCCTCTCCCCATCTGTGTCCCTTACGTGTGATGCACTGTGCTGAGCGAGCTCACAGCATCCCCTCTGCACCGGCTTTGAGCATCCCCCAGTCTCTGACTCCCTTCTCACTGGCATGTTCTGGGCGCTTTCCCTCCCCTGCCACCCTCCAGGGTTTACAGACAATAACTAGATGCAAAATCAGTGCAGGTAGCGGCCTGTGGAGCATTAGACCCAGCCCAGGGAAGCTGAGCTTTAAATGGTCAATTCTCAACTTCACACAGAAAAGATGTGGCCCAGCCCCTGGCAGCTGAGGAAACTAGCTTGGCCTCTGCATGCCCCCCTCCCCCAGAAGAAGGTGACGAGGGAGACCCCTCAGGACACCAGGCAGCCCGCCCCTCACAGCTGCCACCTGCACCACAGACCAGGAATGTTGCTGCTCTTCTGTAAACCCTCCTCCTCTCAACAACATCCACCTGTTCTCTCGTAAACACAACCTCTTCCCAAAAGTGGAAAAAGAATCTCATGGAACTGGGTGGAGACACGCCAGACACCACCCCGGGGCCGGGTTCTGTCTCAGCCACAGAGGTGAGGAAGGGACCCGCCCTCGCCCAGGCCCACCTCAAGAAAAAAACAAAATTAAAAAAAAAAATGTACAAATAGAGAAAACTACCTCAGTTGACAGGATTCCACCTTTAGGGTTTCTTCAACTTTGACGTCTTACCTGTTGAGTGTACCTTTTGTAGCATCTTGCTTGTCCAGGCGAATGGAAGGCAGACAGAGCGGGTATGCACCAGCGTTACCGTTCAGGCCTTCCTCCAGCATGTCGGGGTTTAATTTTTCGTAGATTGACGAGTGATATGAATGTAAAGATACTTGTGTACGTTTAAACATGACAATGAAAACTTAAAATGTAGCTTCCATACTTGTGCATAATTCCAAAGTATTTTATTTTTATCAGTGTTAAATAGCTTTTTGTACAGGCTCCAATCCATTTTTCTGAAGTGTGCTGTTTTTTAATGAAAGTAACGATAAACTTTTCACATCCCATGGAACTGCCGTTTACACATCGCAACTTTTTAAACTTATCATATTTTTCAAAGTTAACTTTTTTCGAGGGAGGGAAATCCCCGCCTGTTAAAGGATACTAATCTCTTGTTTTGGCTCTTCTAATTAGGTCCTGAGATTTTATAAAATTCAGTCAGTAGCTTTTTAGGTTCCTCACTGGAGTTGGTTGTACATAAAAATAAAGAATATAAAGTGACCCTACAGTTCTTTTAAATATCTGGATTTTTCCACTCACATGTGCTTTTGAAAGTATTTTGTCCATGCATACTTTCATCAATAAATTGAAAAAGTCTTGAGCTTCTTGGTAAATGTGAACCATTTGTTTTCTATTGTGCTTTGGGGGCAGGAACCTTTTAATATAATATTTGCCTAAATCAAGCAGCCCCCTCTGAATGTTAATTTTTAAATGTCCACATTTGGTGAACCATAAATCTTGGAAGCAAGACTGCAATATGCTTAAATTTAAGTGGTGTTTAAAAAGGAGAAAATTCCAGGATTGCTTTGTTATCATTGAAGTTCCATTACAACAAACTGATAGGACTTTGTTTTTGATCAGTTAAATAGATACCAGTATCAATGTATGGAATTCTTTTTTCCTAAAATTTGTTCACATATTACTTTGATCCATTTTTCTGTGGCATCTGGTGCAATAAACCTTCTGAATTTATCTTGAACACTTTCTTGGTACTGCCTATGATTTGTCTGTTTAATCAGACTTAGACATCTCATTTCCAGTAATTCACGCTGAAACAAGCCCACTGTAAATGTTAGTGACTCTCAGCAGGGGTGTTTGGTGAGCATGTAATGGGAGAGGGTCCCGGGCACAGAGTGGGTGGGGGCAGAGCAGATCTCCCAGGGATAGAGAAACTCTCGTCACGTGCTGGACACCACGGAATAAGGGGTTATCCCACCTCCTGTGTGACTTACATATCCTGCTGCCGTTCATATGGGTGAAAACCTGTTTATAATGATTTAAGCTGAGAATTTAATTCTGCTTTAGATAAATGCACAACATACTTTTCTCATGATCTTAATAATACCTAATTTTCCAGGTAATGCCACTGTTGTATAAACTGAGGCAAGATTTTACTTTGTAAGGTTTAGGATGTTAATAAGAACTGACATACATTTGGAAAACCATATTACCAGTAGCTGTGTTTATCATGGAGTTTGTCATCAACACAGTCTTCTGATCGTCTCTGCTTATAGCTACTTAGAGCTGTTGCCTTCACGGAGATTCCATTTGGAAGCAAGTGTCTGATGATTATACTTTCTAAACTACTAATGCCCCAATATTTATGTATTAAACTATATATTAATATAAGTTGTAAAATAGTACCACTAGGACATTATAGTGGTTTGTCATAAATTATGTGTGTAAGTAAGTTATTCTGTTGATGAAAATTATGCATTTTATTTTAGGAAAATAAAGGGCATTACAAAATATTTACTATGAAATCTATCACTGATGCATACAGCCTCAAGAAAAACATGCTATTAAATGTAACTTTTGTAGCAATATAAGACCACATTGAATCATGTCATCTTAAGACTACAGTTCAGTCCTCAGTCATGTCCAACTCTTTGCAACCCCGTGGACTGACTGCAGCACACCAGGCCTCCCTGTCCATCACCAAGTCTCAGAACATACTCAAACTCATGTCCATCGAGATGGTGATGCCATCCAACCATCTCATCCTCTGTTGTCCCCTTCTCCTTCTGTCTTCAATCTTTCCCAGTATCAGGGTCTTTTCAAATGAGTCAGTTCTTTGCATCAGGTGACCAAAGTATTGGAGCTTCAGCTTCAGCATCAGTCCTTCCAAAGAATATTCAGGACTGATTTCCTTTAGGATTGATTGATTTGATCTTGCAGTCCAAGGGACTCTCAAGAGTCTTCTCCAACACCACAGTTCAAAAGCATTAATTCTTTGGTGCTCAGCTTTCTTTATAGTCCAACTCTCATATTCATACATGACTACTGGAAAACCATAACTTGGACTAGATAGACCTCTGTCTGCAAAGTAATGTCTCTGCTTTTTAATATGCTGTCTAGGTTTGTCATAGCTTTTCTTCTAAGGAGCAAGCATCTTCTAATATCATGGCTGCAGTTACCATCTGCAGTGATTTTGGAGCCCAAAAACAATAAAGTCTGTCACTGTTTCCATTGTTTCCCCATCTATTTGCCATGAAGTGATGGGACCGAATGCCACAGTCTTATTTTTTTGAGTGTTGAGTTTTAATCCAACTTTTTTAAGACTACAGGAAGGAGGTAATGTTAGATACTGCTAACTCCTTTTTGGATTAAATGAAAAATTTTTTTTTTGTTCCCTTTAAAATCATGCCATTGATGAAGCACTTATACACACATACACAACACACTGCTTCTTGGTTCTGTTGGATGCATGATGTACGTTACCTCATTGAATCCTCACACCTGGATGAGGTGGGTACTGTGATTGTTAATCTTGTATGTCTCCTTGATTAGGTCACAGTACCCACATATCTGAGTTTTGCATGCGTTATGTC